GATGGAGATCTAAGGGCTGGGAGACAGAGGAGCTGCTGCTAGACTGCAGCTCAATACGGATCTTTGTGGTGCTGCCTGAAGAGAGATTACAGAGCTGCATCTCCACGAGCTGCTGTGGGTGTGAGAAACCGAATTGAAGTCCAACAAACATACAGACGGGATTTTCCATTCCTCGGTTTATTGACAGCTTTCTGATTCACCTCCTCTCACTGTGTCTAATTTGGGCTATATTTGACAATGTATTATAACCGAGCCAATGCTTATAATGTATGTGTCATAATGGCTATCAATCACTGGCAATAATTCGGGTAATATTCTCGTTAACTCCCACTCTGCATCGATCAATCAAAGGCACAGCGAGATATCCGCTTCTTAGAAAGGGGTTAATGCAAATGAAGGTTGAATTATCGTTGCTCAAAGGCCACATTGACATTACTCCGTAAAGAAGGGGGTCAACAATTTATTCTCATATACGGACCCTTTGTCAGGACCCATTTACGCAATGTTGTAAAGCCCTGTATAGCCCTACGAGAGGAAATATGATGCTCCACTTCGGTCCCGGGAACACATGGTTAACGTTGTGAAATCAAACAAAATGACATGGTTAGAGTTATGCAACAAACTCCTTGACAAGGTTTGGAAAAAATCATGGTTTTGGGTTCAAATGTGTAAATTGTTGCGTAACGTACCCTAAAACAGGTTGGTATCTCAATGTTCACAAACTCCATGCTCCTGGGCGCTCTTGTTCTGTTTTTATCTGACCCACCCTGACCTCCACCTTCAGACATTGGTGCTCTCTCCTCTAAGGCACCTTACTTCCACCTTTGCTCCCAACAGAATAACTAAGGCTGCTAGAGGTGTGTGATTTATTGTATCTGTAATGGTGATCAACCATGTGAAAAGGTCATAACGGTCTTCTGACCCTACTAGTCGGCTTAGCAGGCCACTTCTAACCCATATCTATGATTCTTATAACCACTGATAACACCCATCCATTGGGCTGATAACATCAGAAGGGGGAAACACATTGACACAACTCAAGAACTGGGATCAACATCTGGTCTGTAAACCAGTAACAGTCTGTCCTGTGGAAGGCAGAGAACCTGAGAGTGTGCTGCAGTCAAGACTCAATCCCACCCCAGCTTTGCCTTGCTGCCTCGCATTGCCAGAGCCGAACACATGGACAGATTTGAACAATGTCATCTTACCACACCTCATCGGCCCCGGAGGCGAGCTTACTTGAGCTCAAGAGTCAGTCTCTCTATAATCACCCAGTTACAGAGAAACAGAGAGGGGAGAGAGGTGGAGGTGGGGGGGACAGAGACAGAACGAGGCAATCCAGCCGAGCAGAAGTAGCTTGCTTCAGTATTTATAGACTGATATCCCACATCTTGTACCAGCAGTCCAAAGTGCAGAAGGTAACAAAGCAAAAATAAACGTTGGGGCAAAAAAACTAAACATCCCAGATAAAAAATGATTTACTGAGGTGGTAAACAGACAAGAAAGAGCAACACGTTTCAGAAAATGCATGCATACATATTAAGGGCACCTGTTTTCTCAAGGAACATACTTAGAGTTGACCTCTAAACGGGGCAGAAGGATTACAGCATCTCAGGAAAGTCCGTTCTAGAAAAGAGTCTTCAATTGTAGAGGTGTACAAAGCATACATCACTTAAACTGCAGACTATCCCCTCTGCTTCAAGCCAAAACACCCTGCGGACCTCCATTACTGCACCTATCTAAAAGTACTTTGGCCCATCTTGTTGGGATTCCTGTCAAACAGCTTGTTTGGAAGAATGACGCTTGTATTTCTCTCTCAGCACACACAAAGACAAAAAGGGTTTTTTCTTGCCAACATATCCGTTCTCTTTGCTGAATCAATAATCAAAGCCTTTTTTCCTCTCTGTTTGGCTGTTAGTCCTTGCAATCTTGCAGTGCAAGCCTGAATTGATGAATATTAATGGTTGATTATCATTTATCTTTGTGCGAAATAAACACATACAATGCCGCGGTGGATAAAAGCGTTGGACAATGGGATGAGGGATCAGTCAATTTACCAGATCTGCGCACCAATTCGTCAGAGCGGGACCCATCATTATCAATCCTCACACACCATATGCTTAATGATTGTCGGGTAAATAAGGGAGTCTAGAAAAGTTACGTCTGAGGCTGTTAGATATTCAAGCCATCAATCTGCCACGCATTACAAAGGGAAGAATTCTGACTTGTCTTTGATGCAAACACAGCAATTTGTTCCGTGTTTGTCTGTTTGTTCTAAGGCGATGTTTTGCTTTTCATGGCCTGGTGTAAATGATCTGCTCCTTTGTATGTCTGGATAATTGAAATATCTTTGATTGAAGAGGCAAAATGGTGGGAAAACATGGCATTAGGGTTTGTATAGGCCTCACACCAAAACAAAGCAAGGTCTTCAACAACCTTAAGCACTTAGGGACTCTCATTTAAGTCTCACTTTTCCATTATGGCTGTGGAATGGTAAACCAAGAGCTGCTTTACCTAAAAGTACCCTCTGTTGCCTTCCAATAGCCTACATGAGGGTCTCTACTTGTTGAAGAGCTATCTCCCACTCGTCGCCAACAACGAGCGAACGCGTGTCCCCAAGCCCGTCCGTCCGTCCGTCCGTGTGAGCAATATATTCAAGCCTATCTACCTTCACACTCCATTTGCCCGTTTCTATTCTTAATGACACGTTATTTCTGAAGCGTCCCTGGCTCGTGATGAGTAATCCTTCAAATCCCTTCCAACACCGTGTGGGTTTTTAAAAGCCACATCCGAGCAACAAGCTTTCACAGCTGTCTCTCCTGCTTCCCTTTAACAGGTAGCGCATGTCTGCTCCGCGGGACTGACGGGGGCTGACGAAAACACGGCGCTCGGTGAATCACAATGTCAGGAAAACGGCGCGCTGGAGAAGAACAGCGAAAGGGAAGGGTGCTGTCACGCCTTGTGGCCGTCCTTCTCACTCTTCCACACGTCCGCCTCCTCTAAACCCTCCTCCCTCGACTTCCCTGCGTTTATGCTAATAGCCTCCGCCGAGAGAGAGAGAGAGAGAGAGAGAGAGAGAGAGCACCGAGAATGACACACGGTTAAAAATCGATGGCACAATTCCTCTCTGTCCCTCTCACAAGCACTATCTCTCACTCTGGTGTCGGTGTAGTTGAGGGGAGCCTAGTCACAGACAGTAGATTGGGGATGCTTCGTATAGTTAAACCTCAGAGCACACTGGGTAATACAAAACGATGGGGTGGAAAGAGTCCAGTCTTGGCCTGCTCTTCCTTGATAATAGCACAGACAAAGCAGGAAACTACGAAATACACAGCGCTGCGTGACCCGTTTGAATCAGACCTCCCACCCATTTGATTCATTTTTTAATCAAGCGTGAGAAACACCGAGAAAAAGGAGAGAGAAAAGGGAGAGATTTATAAACCAATACAGTGCCATCTTTGGTTCAACACGGGACTTATCTTAGCTCTGCCAGGCATAGTCATGAGCACTTAACCTTGCAGTGAACGCAACCCATCATCATCATCATCACCTCGCAAAAGGCAAGTTCTTCTTCATCCTGAGCTTCCCACCCCCTTTTTACCCCCGCCCCGCGCCCAATCCTTGAATGTCCTTCAACAGGAAGATGCTTATGCCTGTGACTAACCTATCCATATTGTCAAGTTTGTTGCAAAGCATTAAGAGAGACCTTGAGTAAAAGCATCCCTCATGACAGGGGAAGTTGATTTTGTGCCACCGATCCCCTGCAGCGTTTCACACTCGCACAGCATGGTGTTCAAACTGTGGGTGAGCGTGGAATTATGAATCACAACTCGGTTTTTGATATTTGTAGGTATTACATGTAGTCTTTGTTGCCATGTTTTAAGACATCTGCAGTTCAAATGTCTACAAAAATGCCGTGTTGATGTTTGGTCACCGTGGCCCCTGATGAGTGTTTGTTTGTTCCAGCATTTTGATGAGCAGCCATTGTGGAATCCAGCAGAGGCTTCCTAATTGACTCGCTTGAAACATTAATGCATCACTTAACAGCATTTTTGTGTTCGTATGGTATTTGGAAAACACAGGTGCAAATCCCACATGGTGGCAAATGTTTAATTGATGCAGCCATATGACAATGCCAGGGAGAGGAAAATAAATAAACAAGTGTTTGCTTGGACTGCAAGTGATTTCTTTTTCTCAGCTTTTATGCTTCATGTGCCATGTCATAGGGGGTGACAATGTATATTTCAATGGCAACGTGTCATAAACAAAAAAGACCTACCCACCAATTATCAAATATCAGGCGCCACGACACTGTTTGTGAAAGCTATTACTGAACGAGATCAAATATGCTTCGTGGCCTGCTTTCGCGTTCCATGCCAAAATGGCTGGGTGATATTCTGGGGGGGGGGAGCGAGCGTGACTGCCAGGTTGACTCTCCCCAGGTGAGTCCCAGCAATGAGCTGTGAACAAGCTGCTTTGGCCGGGCTTGTCCCCTCCCCTCACCCCCTGAAACCAGCCTGACACTTCCACACAGGCCAGGGAGCAGGTGGCCCTTGGCCGCAGGATTAGCCCGCAGTGCTATTCATTAAGAAAACCGACTAAATAAGTTTTTCTTATGCTATGTCAAAGTCAAAGAGTCAGAAAGACATGATTGTGGGTGAAAAACGGTAGATTGAAATAAAAAAAAGACATGCATTTTGTGTGGAAAATAGTACCAAAGTAACATTAAAATCTGTCTGTTACACATTATCTTGGATTTCAAGGACGTCCAACACAGAGAATGAGAACCATTATTTAATGAGAGTTTAATTATTTGCAAAAGCATTCTATCCCTCTCTCTTGTCCCCGTATCTCTGCTTCCCCTTGACAACCCAAAACCCTCCCACTGCCCATGGGAAGAAGAAGACGGAGAAAAAAACGGAGGGAGCATTCAAATGGCCGAATTAATGTTTCCACACGATAAGAAAGCTTAATATAACGCTGACAATCACAGCACTCACCCTGCCAACCAGAATTGGATCGGGTCCAGAAAATTCCTCCAGCACAAACATTTGATTCCAAACCCATCCTCTCTTGGCGCGGCTCAGTAATCTTTGTCCTTCGCCAGGGCCGCTCGCCACCGCTGCGGACCCACCAGTTTGTGTACTTTTCGACGGGCCTATGATCGGAGTCATAGACACGCAGGGAACGCAAGTAATCCACACTAGCAGCAAGGACATCCACAGATCCACCAGCATCTCCTCTGACCGCCTTGGCATCCTGTCTCCCGTGTGTTTTCGTTTGTTTGTCTATTTGTCTTCCAAAGTCTCTCTTTGGCTCCTGTCGTCAGATCAACAGCTCCTTCTTAGATAATGAGAAAAGGTTACTTGTGTCCTCTTTGAACTGCAGAGCCTACATTCATGGTGCGATAAAGGTCACTTGCATGGCTTGGCATGCCTCCATAGCAGTTGGTGAGGGGGTGAGGAGCTCTGCGCAGCATCCATTTGGCGTTATTCCGAGGGGGAGACCTGTAAAAGGAAGCAGTTGTCCGTTAGTTGTCTTAAAGTCTTGTGAGGAGTTCTCTGAAGAAGGTGGGGGGAGAAAAAAGGGAGGCAGGGAAAAAGAGCGTGGAGGCCAATAAACATTTGAACTAATCAGAGGAGACAGACGGAATGAGAAGGGAAGGGAAAACAGTTTCGGAGGCAAGGAAAATAAACAAAAAACGGGTTTTAGGAAGAACATTCTCATTTTGGGATAAGAAGGCAAGATGTCACTTCATTATTGCGAACGATCTTGCCGCAGCATTCATGGCACTTTATCCCAATCTGGTTTCCATATAATGCTGCTACAATTGCACAACAAATGGGGATGTCTGTACTCCGAGGCTATTCAGCCCACAACATCAGATTGCGTTGCTTTAATCTGTTGTTCTGGGGATTATCCCGGAAAGATTTTGAAAAATGACATGTTCCCCTTTATGATGAGTGTCTTCACAATACATTTTCTGTGTAGAAATTATTGTCATCGTTCTGCAATCAAATTCCTTAAACATCATTGCACGCAAGATTTTTTTAAGCCTCAGATTGATGGGGTGGCAGCAGGTGAGCGCTACAATGTCAACAGCGCTGCAGGTATCATCCAGATGAGATACATGTGAAGGCATTAAGGGAAGGTGTTTCAACATTGATGTATTATAACACTCGAACTACCTCTTTCCCTAATAGGCATGACATTTAACTTTTATTTAACACAAAAAGACTGAAATAAAATACAAAAATTAAACACATCCGAGTGACTCTGATGAGAAAAATATGTAAATGTTGCCCTTTAATCAAGAACTGTTTTAGCTTTAATATCCATTGTACAACCTCAGTGGCTTCACACTGATATGCATTGATCCCAAAAATGCAAAACCTAGAGGAAGAAAATCAAAAAAGGACAGACACAAAGGTTTGTCTTTGAGCTGTCCTCAGACTCATCTGATGCAGGTGGACATGCTATCACAGCCCGGTTAATTCCGGTAACTTTTACTACACACAATGCATGTCACTGTGCTCATATTGCGTGTGTGGCTCCAGGAGAGCAATTCCAAGGACAATAACGCATTCCACCTGAAGCCAACTGCAATATCATGAAGTGAGGAGGGATCCTGTGACATTCTACAACTATAACCCGGAGACTGGGGCAGATTTTGTTAAATATATGTAAGGAAAAAAAGCGAAAACCATTTGAACATGAGAGTAAAAACCTGAAAAAATACAGATATAAACATTTTTACAATTTTACCAATTAAACACAAATAGCTTACGTGAAAATAAGATTGTTCCTGTTATTTTAGAGCATTTTAAGTCATTTTGGATCGTGACAAAGCAGCCTGTTTCAGCACCACGGGGGTAGGACAGCTCCCCGGCAGAAAACAGCCGGTCCAGACGGCTCAGCCGCACACCGAGCACCGGCAGCGGCGGAGCTGTCCAAGGTAGTCCATACACATGCATGAGCTATTCGTTTTCCAATATAATGTCAAATAAAACCAATAAATAACCCACCAAGTTTCAACTTCATGCCTTTAACAGCCTCTAAAGTCTGCATCACGTACCCAAATTACCTTAATTCCCTGTCTCTCTGAAGTTTTACCATTTCAGGATACGTTGTTTCCAATGAGCCCGTGTTAGTGCATCAAATGTGGCACTAGAGCGCACAAGCAGTCCGGTTTACGGGAATAAAGCATGCATAAGCAGCATTTAAGCGAGACCAATTGCGACATAGGAGAGCGAAATGTGAATAAATAAAGCAGCCTAAGTTGCAGACCTTTTGGGAGACTTGCTGCGTGGCTCCGTGCCGGGGAAAAAAGCACACAAACCCCGCTATGGAGAAAGAGAAGAAGTCCATCCACTAAACACCATCAGTAATACCTGTTAGGTTTACGGTGACTTACCAAAGAGACTTGCATCCGCTGCTGCTGCATCATTTCACGATGTTTCTCTCGTTACGCAAAAACTAAAAGTCCCAATTCGTTTCATTCAAAGGCGTTTGATTGGAAAGCGAGCGAAAAAACGGCAGAGGCAAGAGGCTAGATATCCTTCCCGCAGTTTGTCACCGCGCAGAGTGACAGACAGACAGTGTGGGGCTTGTAGTTAAGAGCTCCGACAGGCTTGCTGGCCGACTGGAAAAGTGAGGAGGGAGATGGAGGAGAGATGCACGGCGGCGAAGAGAGCCTCCCCTGCACGGCGCTCATTGGGTTGATGAGGAGCCGGGTCAACAGGCGCACAAATGAACGCATGCCGCTCTGCCCAGGCACTGACGCGCAAAGGTTATCGTCTCAAATTGCCGGGTGCACCGTAGCTGTAGACATTACATAGGTGTGTGCAGGTAAAAACCCTCTCATTACTGCTTTTTCCCCCACTCTATAATTGTATTTGAGATGACCCTCGCCTTTCTCGGTTATTAGTGGAAGCCAGGTAATTAGTAAAACGAAACCGAAGCTCATTTACTCTGTCATTCGATAGCAGCAAACAGATGGACGTTGTGCCCAGTTGGCACAATAGAATGTAACTATCCTCTTCCTCTTGAAGGCATTTTACTGAATTCCCTGGCCCTTTAAAGTGACAGTTTATTTGTATTCTCGACACATGATGGAAAAACTTAAGCCCACATTATTGAAAGACAAGTAGCAGGGGAAGTGTTACACAGGTCTTATTAAAACCGTTTGTGAAAAGGTCATGGTTGCATAGCTGTGTTTGAGTGTGAGTGACAGCAGAAGGGGGCCCATGCTGCTGTCCACGGAGAGGGCCCTCTAGTGTTTGTCCGGATACTTGGCAGCCTTGGGGGGAGGGGGGGAGCAGCCTTCATTAGTGAAGCAGGAGAGGATGGTCAGTGTATTGTCTGACACAGGTTGATTTTTTCCCCTCGGCTATGACACTCGTTTGATGAAACAACCCATGGAGTATTAAACCTCGGCATGCTGATATCTCCCCATTCCCTCAACTCAACCTGAAGTGCGTGCATGCATATTCAGGGTGTCAAAGCACAACATGTTATTGTTCCCCCTTAACATAACAGCCTCTTAGGCTCACACAGTGGAGGCCTTTTGACCCGGGTGCCATAGATCCCAATTAGCAAAGACATCAAGTCTACCATTATTTATTTCGGTACCGTTTAATTTCCTTCCCACTCACACTTTGATGTTGCAGCTGCGTTTCAGTTGGGAATTCTCCAATCATCTTTTTTTAAAAGACTCTGCTGCATAATACATTAGACTGTAAATGTTGAGCCATGTTTCTCTTCCTTGGAGTGAATGAAGTTTTCATTGACGGACACATATCGGACGTATGTGTGGAGAGTTAAATGTATGAAAAAAGACAGCTCCGGGCAGCTGTTCATTTAAAAATCACAGTACATTTTGTAGGTAAACGGGGCAGGAAACAACTTTTCAAATCCATCCTGTGTGGCATTTGTGTAGGAGGGATGAGTTGATTAAAAGTTGCAAATAAGCTTCCTGTCTAACCTGCAAAACAAATTAAAATAGTTGCAACGTTTTGAATACAAGACGACATTTGCCTGATGAAGGTCTATAAGAAAAGTACATTAATAGATAATCATATTTATTTAAAGGGGACCTATCATGCAAAATGCACTTTTGTACGTCTTTTATACATGAATATGTGTCCCCGGTGTTCCAGGGAACTCACCAAGTGTCAGAAAACACAACCCTCTCTATTTTCCTCCATACCCAAATCTCTAAAAAAGGGGCTGCAACGGATCTGATCAAAACTGATCCAGATTTGAACACTGGCCTGACGTCAGGACAGTGGCACTACGGCTATTGGGCCAACTCCACCAATCAGGAGGAGACAGCCACGGCCATTGCCGTTAGAAAGCGCTGGAGACGCTGTAGTACATATGCCAGGCCTGTAGATGGTGCTGTTCTCACAGAATCAGCCCTTGCAAAAACAGAGCTAAAAATGTTCAAATTGAGCGAAATGAGGCATGGCTAAAATGCATGATCTGTTTGGTATTTTGAAAAAAAAAAAGTATAAATATGCCTTATATAGGTATGGTCCTACACTATATTATTCAAATATAGCATGATAGGTCCACTTTAAACATATGAGACATTAAAAGAAGACTTAAGTAAACCTAGAGGAAAACATCCAGGTAGAGTGAAGTCAGTGCCAGTGTGCATTTAACATTGTTCCTAATGGCCAGCAGGGGGAGCCTACATTGGTTTTAAAGATAAGTTGCATACACGTCTATGAGAGAATTCCCCTTCTTTCGCTTAATTTATTACCTTCGTAAAGATTGTTCCAAAACGTTTGTGATCTCAATCTCTAGTTTATGGTCTTCTTCAATAAAACACCATGGATTATTTGTAAACTAAGTCACAATTAAAGAGTCTACATTTGCTTTAAAAACAAGTCTGATTGCATAGAAGTCTATGAGAAAATTACTGGACTTCTTACTTGATTTATTTCCTTTCTTAAAAATGTTTCCAATAAGAATATGGCCTCAATCCCTAGTTTATAGTCTTCTTGGATAAAGCACAATGTATTTGTTTGTAAATGATGGTCTGAATTAGAGTAAAATACAAGCAGGATTGCTTGAGGGTGCATCTACCTTGTTATTCATTTGCAACCACACAGCGCTGCTCATTCTGGGTGCTTTCCATGTTTCCAGTAACAACTTTACCTCATTCACAGTGTCACTTCAGGTTTAAAACAAGATGGGGACGGCCAACATTCCAAACCCAAGGCTTCATAACTCAAGTCCACAAGCCAATAAGTGACGTAACGGTGACTCCATCTTCTTTCTTAACACAGAAAATATGCTGGATCTCTTGGTGTGGTGTAATTACTTTGATGATGCCCCCCTCCCACACCCACACACACACACCCCCACACCCCCCCCCACACACACACACACACACAGACAGACAGACAGACAGACAGACAGACACATACATGCATGCAGTGCCTAACACAACACCGTAAAAGTGCCGAAGCACAGCCCTAATTCATGCTAAATACAACTCTACATAAACTAAATGACTGTCATTCATGGCACGTTCTCTGAAACGTAAGGTAATCGCACCGCTAACATCAGGTCAATCTGAAACCCACTCATCATTCAAAATCTCGTTCTGTGAGTGGAGTTCTGTGAACATGAGAAGGCTCTATAGCTTTAAATTAGTGATTAATTCCACCTACATGGCCCCTGCCAGTGATCAAAATATCAGATGGCTTTAAAAAAAAAAAAGGCAAGCAAGTGAAGGGGAAATGGTCTTTAGAATCCAAGCATCCTCAATCGATCATTAGTTACTGCTTTGTCAGTGGTATTAATCACAGAACTGTTGCAGTGTGCTTCTGACTTCAACATCTGAAACTCTGCACAACTCACTGCAGCGGGATTGTACAGTACTATATGGTCATGTTTTTGCATGACTTGGATTCTCTAGTATGTTATTTGTTCTCTGGCCAATCACTTGAAGCACACTACTTGCTCACACCAGGGTATTCTCAGTTGCAGGTATGAGCCTGTTAAGTGTCATCAAGGACACATTTCTGCAAATAACCCGCACCACCAGCACCCCTGCATACTCATTTGGCAGACTTAACACCTATCAATCATTTTGATGAGTCTTCATAGAAACAGTGTCCAGCCTGAGGTTGAGTACCCAGGAATGGCAAACTATGCTTTCAGCCTGATGCTCCTTCTTCTTTACTTTATGCTCTTTCTTCTTTACCTTATGCTCTTTCTTCTTTACTTTTTCTTTATTGTAATCGTCACTGGTAGGCCCCCTCTCACCCCCTGCTGTGTCACCCCAACCCTTAACAGACAGCTGCAGCTGGCCAAGCTCATCCATAGCAAATCCTGAAAAAAAATGTCCTCTTTGGAAAGGTGCCTTCAAGGGAAAACTGTCATAACGAGAAAAACAACTTGATGTTTACGTTTGCATGACCTGTGACACCTTATCGTCATGGAAATAAGGACTCTTCGCAAAAAACCAAGAGGCCATTTTTGGTTCCAGAAAAATGAATCTTGCAAGTTTCAATGTTAAGGATTAACTTTGATGTATTGACAGTAATGGAATATAATATTAACTTTTTTCATGAATGTATAATCACCTAAAAATAAAATTGTGTGTTTTGTGTATTCATTAGACTAGAATGAACACGTCAAATCCACATGTGAGTGGTTTCTCTCGTACGGAATACGCCATGTTGTGCCCCCATTTCTCTACAGTATCCCAGAATGGACAAACCAATCTCTAGCTATGGGCTTTTAACAGTTTAACAAAACATGGTGGACACTGTTGATTCCCTGAAACATTGAAAAGGCGAGGGGTTTGGGGAGGGGTTCTCAGTCAGTTGCAATCTGCAACCTCACCACGAGATATCACTAAATCATACTCCCTAGACTTTGAAAATAGTTTGATATGACCTGTTAACAACATTCCAAAATGTTATCTTTATGCAGCAGATCACACAAATCCTACATTGTTATGTCTACAGCAGAGGTTGCGCTAGACTTTTTTGCTGCCCGTCATTTTGACGGACAGGATCGTAAAATTTCCGTCAAACTCCATTATAACCCGTCAGCCTGTACACAACTCTGCGGGGGGGGGCGCACACTCGCTCGTGAACTGTTAGCGCCGTGTTATGCATGCCCACTGCACCTCGCGGGAGCGCGCGCAGCGTAAAGCAAGTACTCACAGACATTTCAATGATCTGTTCGGCAAAAGTTAGGTTTGGAAACGATATCATTTCCTTTTGGGAGGGCATGCATAATAACACGGCATAACACCGGAGCCCCGCTGCGTGGAAACTTTGGCGCTGTTCTGAGTTTGTTCTAATCTGTCAAAATGACGGACGGCTTTCAGATTTTTCTGTCATTGTTAAAAAAAAAACGTCATAGACGGAAAATATTCGGTTAACGCCACCTCTGGTCTACAGTATCTTGCACTTTTAGACCAAGATATTTACCAAGTATTAGGGTAAGGCTCTACAAGTCTAAGTATACAGGGAGTTGAGAGTTTAAGCTCCACAGTGTTTCCATATAACCCTGGAGAAGGGCTGTCCCGAATACCATTTTCCGGGGGGGTTGCGTAGTAATCAGCAGCGAACC